GAAATTGAGGGGTATCTTCAAGAAAAGCATGTTATTCCATGGATGAGCATTTACTATGCAGTAGACGTGCTGAACTAACTTGCAGGCCTATGTGCTTGAATGGGGAAAAATGAATGGGAGGCAGTTAGAAAGGGGGCATTTGTGGAGGCAGACTTTCTTCTTTCATTTGGCTTGACAAGGATGCTTGGGTCTCCTGTGGTCAAATGAGCACTTAGAAAGTAGGCAGACTTGAGCCAGCTTACTGGAATCCCTCCTAGGAGGGCTTCCGGTTAGGAGAGAAGACCTCAGTAGCAAACAGCTGTGAAGTAGTCCATGGGAACGAAGCTCAGCAGAAGTTTGAAGAGGTCATTTTGGAGATAACTGGACAGTAGACAGAGCCCCTGCATGCCCTTCTGCAAAGCAGGCACAGACACCCAACAAGAGGAGCAGCACGTGGGCACCGGGCACACAGTGAGCATTGACATTCAAGAGAGGATTCCAGTGGCACATGTAAATGGAAAAAGCCCTTACCTCCTTTTTCCCTAGTCCTCTTCTCCCACCTGAATTCTTAAGAAGCTGGGGTGAAAGAGCTGGCCTAACATCTCTACAGTCCATAAGTCTAAGTTCTGACTTCAAGGTAGAAAGAAAAATGAGTACAAAAGTGAATTTGAGATTACATTTTTCAAGTGGATTAAGTTGCACTAGAATGGACTGGAGTATTCACGCTCAAAATGATCTAATAGCAATGGGGCCAGCTGTGTGGCTCAGTAGTTGAGCATCGACCTATGAATCAGGAGGTTGGGCTTGGATTCCCTGTCAGGGTACATGTCCAGGTTGTGGGCCCAATCCCCAGTAGGGAGTACGCAGGCGGCTGCCGATCGATGATTCTCTTTTATCATTGATATTTCTATCTCTTTCTCCCTCTCCCTTCCTCTCTGAAATCAATAAAAATATAGTAAAAGCAATGGGATCTATCTGAAGTATGCTAAGGGATAGAAAAAGAATATATAATAGAACATAACTGAAGGAAATGACTAAAGAAAAAGAAACTATTTTGTACTTCTTGGAGTTCAGTATTCAATAAACTGGGTATGTTACCAAGACATGGAATCCAAGTTGGATAAGGAAGGAAGTGAAGATGAAGAGGAGCTGATGGGTGGTAAGAACATGGAAGGCTCACTGCATTGAGTGTCATAATGAAGCTGAAAACAGTTTCAGTGGAGGTCCTTGAGCAGGTGAGCTGGAAACCCAAGGAGAGTGGAGGGTCTAAGTTAGTGATTTTAAAGCACTGACAGACACAAGTCTAAGGTAAGTGCTTGGAGATACTGAGCAGCTTAGGCCAAGTAAAAGACAATGTCTTTGACAATAAGTTCAAATAACTGAGATAATGTTAGGTTTGTTAGCCAATGGGTACGATACCTAGAAGATGGCAGATACTGGGGTGGATAAAAGCACTAAAGCCTCTTCTGAATGAGGCGGAGTGACCATGAGGGGAATAGATGATAGTGATGGGAATCAGATATAAGCCTCAAACAATAAAAGGTTTTTATAGAAGGAAGGGTTGTCGGTCTGGAAACAGTGCTGAGGAATGAGGAGGACATGTCTCCATTCACCAACTCTGGGAGGCATAACCATCTCCACAGGATCTTCAGGGTCCTGCCAAGAGGCGCTGGGGTTGTTCACTGAAGAGGCTAAGGATTTGGAGAAGTTTGTCAAAAATGGAATAGGAATTCCAGATGGTCCAATGAAAGTGTTGGTGATAAAGGAAGAATAGGGAATTGACAGATGGAATCAAGACTTGCAGAGAAATCCATAGACCATGTGAAGAATGTTAAGCAGGGGACATGACATGGTCAGGCTTGCATTTTAGATAAATCATTCTGATCGGTATGGAAGATTTATTTGAGAGGAACCAAGTTTACAAGAAAGGAGACCATTTAAGAGAATGTTATGATAGTCATGACAAGAATCTCAAGAGTCTGAAATTGAGTAGTAAAAACGGGGTGATTATGATATATGTAGAAGCTCAATCGGCTATAAAAAGTGAAAGAATGAAAATTTTACAATGACTCTCACATTTCAAGCCTGGGGAATTTGGTGGTTGGTGGGTTCAATGAAGGAAAATAAAATTTATGAGGAAATATATTTAGATTTGAACATTGTGTCAAAGACTAAAGACTTGAGTTGACCCCCAGTATTCATTTCCCCTCTTAGACTGTAACAGAATGGCTGATGTTAGTTTGGCACATGGCCACCCAAAATAAAGATAACATTCCACACTTACAGCTAGATGTAGCTAAATGACTAAATTCTGGCTAATGGTCTGTAATATAAATTTGTTGTTTCAACTTGTGTAAGAAGTGTCCTTAAAAGAAGGGGTGGCATTTTCTTCACTTTTTCTTCCTTCCTGCAGGGGGAATATGGACATAATAGAGAGAGCTCTACTAACTATCTTGGACCATAAGTTTAACTTGACCCAAGAAACTGCAAAAAGGACAGCAGCAAAATAGAAAAAGCCTGCGTCTTTGACATCTTAAACATAAGAAGTAAAAAAAATTCTATTTGTTTAAGTCACTGTTATTTTGAGACTTTCTGTCAGTCACAGCTGAATCTAATCCTAATAAATACCAGATGCGTAAATTTTGAAGTGTTTGTGGAACTTCAAGGGGGTATACACAGTTGGATATACTGATAGGACAAGAGATCAGTGTTGGCCCTAGCGGCTAGGGCCTAGCCAGTTTGGCTCAGTGGATAGAGTGTCAGCCTGCGGACCCAAGGGTCCCTGATTCAATTCCAGTCAAGGTCTCATACCAAGGTTGCAGGTTCCTCCCGGCCTGGGCCCTGGTCAGGGTACATGTAGGAGGCAACCAATTGATGTGTTTCTCTCACATTGATATTTCTCTCTGTCTTTCCCTCTCTCTAAAAATCAATGGAAAAATATCCTTGGGTGAGAATTTTTTAAAAGGGGGGAGAGATATCAGTGTTGGAGACAGGTCTGTAAGTGACCAGCATAAAAGGCATTCCCTGAAAGCGAGTCCATGTGATTTTTTCCAATAGCCTTTAGCAGCCTGGATCTAAGAATGAAATGTTAATAATGTTCATTTAGATATTCAGATCTAAATCCATTTTCTAAACACAAGTAAAAGGAGACTTAGAAATCAATATCATTTGTATTTAAAAGATTGCCTTTGAAAATAAAAGATTTACCACAGCTCTTCTTTGTATAATTGGTCACTCTTTATAAGGCACTCAGACCACATGAGGGTATATCAAAACCCTTTTGTTATGGAGCAATTAGAACTAAAACCAAATGAAGAATAATCTTATATTCCAAATACAGGGCCATGGACATAATAAATAATAAATACTCAGGGAAAACTACACAGACCTTATTTGTAATGTAATTTTGAACAACTGCATAGACAGCGTAATTCTTTACAGGCTCAAAAATAGACCCTTATAAATCTGAAAAAAATATATGAGTTAAATTTGCTAAATGGTTAATCCCATTATACAAAATATTCTATAAAAAATATTCATTATCTATTTAAGTGTATTGAAATTTTGAAACCTTTCTTACTATAGCCCCCTTTAGAAGCTGTCACCTCTTCCCACAGTTATTTCAAGCTAGTCTCTTAAAAATCAGAGCCTTAGCTTCAAATATAAATTATAAATAACAAATTTCTTTTAATGCTTTTAAATTTAAAGAGCTAGAAGTTGTTCTGTAGTCCTTCAAAGAAAGTTTGAATAAATAAAACAGCACCTACAGGTTTGATTTTGTGGGGTATTAGCATTAATTTTTAAACCCAGACCACCTGGCCTTTTCTCCCTACACTTTCAGTATGTGCTCACTCAGGGGTAAAATTATTTTCATATAGATTCAGCAAACTTAATTACGGAAGAAATAGGCCAGTGATGGTGAACCTATGACACATGTGTCAGAGGTGACATGTGAACTCATTTTTTTGGTTGATTTTTCTTTGTTAAATGGCATTTAAATATGTAAAATAAATATCAAAAGTATAAATCTTTGTTTTACTATGGTTGCAAATATCAAAAAATTTCTATAT